ATTTTTCTGCAGTGAAAGATCGCCAAGTGAAGTTTATTTATAAACTAATTTCAAGAGGAGTACGTGTTTTTGATTGATAGCACCTGGTCCACATTAGCTAACACTGATTTACCAATCAGACGACTCCTTGATACTATAAATAACCAGAGTATCTTACTTCAGCCATCTTCGTCTTGAAGAATCCCCCCTTCCACCCCTACTCCTCCCATTTCCTTGTCAGGGCAGCACGGAGGCCTAGTGGTTAGCACCACGGCCGCACAGCAAGAATGTCACCGGCTCGGACACTACCTGGCCTGGTCGGCATTTCTGTGCGGAGTTTGCATGTTCTCCTCGCGTTTGCGTGGGTTTTCACCAGGCTCTCCGGTTTCCTCCCACTGACCAAAAACATGTAACATAAGCAAATTGACAAATATAAATTGACAGCATAGGCACTTCACAGCATCAATCTACTTCCAACATAATCAAGCTGGGGAGTTCTCGAGACCTACCTGAACTCGGACTCCCCTCTCGCCCTGCAACGGGAGGGAGCCCCGGGCTCGAAGATCTCAAGAGTTCAGGGCTCTCTCCCGGGACAGCATGCCAAACTAGCTTCATAATCAATCATCAGCTAAGGGCGAACTCTTGAATATGCTTTATAAAACTCTGTTCATGCAGAGAGTGACAATAATTGCTGTCTGTGTTTTCATATACACTGTAAAAATACAGCATTTACATAATTCATTCATGTTGTCCCAACACAAATCAATTAAGTCAATTATTTTTGACAAATCTAGGTGGATTGAACATAAAGCGATTAAGTTGTCTCAAAAAAACTCACAAACTGTGTTTCAGCTTATTCTAAATAAGTAGTCTGAACAATATTTTTTTGAGTGTACGCAAAAATGATTTGCTGCTTGGTCAAAGTACGTATTTCAATTGAACTGAAACAACACAATTCTTCAGTTGTTTTGGGGGACAATTTAATTGTTCCATGTTTAATCCACTTATATTTATAAAAACGATAAAGTTAACTTAATTAATTTGTGTTGGGACAACAAGATGGAATTGTGTGAAACCCAGCTTTTTTACAGTGTAGGTTTTCATATAAAATAACTGTTTTTCTGTCCCTTTTGTCGAGTATAAATTTAATTTAGCATATATGTAATCTACAACCCTGGGGGAAAAAAAGAGGTTACTTTGGTAGCTTAAAGATAAATAGCTCAAATAAATTATTAAATTATTTTGACAAACGCAGTATGATTATTTTGCAAGTTTGCATTTCAGCGTACATCACATTATGTGTGAGCATCAGATGACATGAGCTGCAGAGCTCATTAATAATCATGACCATTCCAAATATGGTCAAGATTGAACCTTTCATTCTAGAGGTATTTCCTCTGGTTATAAATGAGTATATAAAACCATTTCTGACAAATTTTAGCTAACTTACCTAAGCCACATGCCTACTATGTGGATATCAGAGAACAATTTACCATGTTTAATCAGTGCACTCTTTTGCAACTTAAAATAAAATAAATATTTTAGACTATTGGCCAAAAAAGGAGCTGTCTTTAAATGTGGACAGTTATGTGGGTCGTGGAAATAGGCCGGTTTGCACTGCAGCGTTCTTACGCTTTTGTTCTCACCACATATACAGTCCATATCAGTGAAAGCAATCTATGAAGAGCAGTTCTCAGTTTGACGCTGGGATTCGCTCCTGTGCATACAAGCCACAGCATACGAATAAGCATAAAGCAAACATTTTGCCCTAAAGGCTTGAGAGCAACGGAATTTCCCAAAAGACTGTTGAGGTGGCAAATGGTGGTCGAAAACTTTCAGAACTGAAATTTGGCATGTACAGTATTCACAAAGAATGCTTCGCTTGAATAACTTTTTGCCTATTCATTCATTTTGTTTCGTTTAGGTTACTGCATATAATATCGTTTGTATTAACTGTATAGGTGGCACAATTATTCATGCATACAGTTTTGACTTTGCTCTTGACTTTGTTGATCTGTATCAAATGAAAGCTGTACAACAGCGGGTAAAGGTAATATATACGTTAATTCAGCATTTACAGTCTATAATCTGTTTTTAGCCACATATGAAAGATTTCATATTAGAGAGAAAAATCAGCATCACCAGTGTGGATAACACAGAATATTAGATATATTAATACAGTTTCCTGGTCTATGCTTGTAAGTGCCTGTCTGTTTGGTGAAAGTAAACAGCAGAGATACTCTTCAGTAAAACTGAAAAAAAAAAACCTGACAGGGTCTTTCTGATAAAGATGGCTCACAAAGGTTAACTTGCTTTCTAAGAAGTCCACTTTCTGTGGTACAGTACAGTAGGTCAAAGCCAACAATTCAAACCTGAATACAGCCATCCAAAATGTAATACGTAAAGGTCTTTTAAAAAACTTTCTTAAGGCTTTAAAAACTACAAAAAAGCAAAATACATAGATACAAATAGAGAAGTACAAGAATGAATTTCTGTCTGGTAGAAGTTTACTGACATGAACAGGACTTCCCATTAATATATATCAATGACAGGAATTTCCATCTTGATGTCTGCCTCAAATTAAATTCTAAAACATGATTATGTACACAGAATGGATATTAAATGCCAATGATTGTTTTACTTTTTTCAAATAACATTTGTGGATATTAAATGTAAAAAATAAAAAAAAAAGTGAAATAATGGAAAATTGTTTATTCAGCAAATAATGTTTATTTAACAAATATTTCATGTGAGAATATTAAATTTTACTGTTTTAAAGTTGAATTGCTGTGTTGTTTCAACACAAATCTGGGTAAAATTCAAACAACTCAACCTTTGTTATGTAAACGCTGAATCTGGGTTGGGTTTTTTCCATATTTCACCTACATTTGCACTGAAATCATCAATTAAAGCTTGGTGGTTTGAAAAGTAAAAATGACAATGAATTACTGTAGTTGCACTAATCCTTCAATAGATTTATCAAAAGTCATTAAATGATGCTAGTTTTAAATATGTCATTATCTTTGGGCATAATGTACATTTTGGTATAATAATGCTGCCACACTTAATATTATTTTAGCATTTGTCTTCTGTAAATCAATAAAGTCTTGGTAAAAATACAAAACCATTTCCTTAAGCATAGCATGCACTCGAAAAATGCTGGGTTATTTCATCCCAACTTTAAGTGTAAAATGCACTTGCCTAACTACTGGGTAATTTTTTTGAATTAAATTTTTTTGACTTCATTTACCCCAGTGTTTAGTTGAGTCCACATTTTACACAATTTGGGTTTAAGAAATTCATCTGGTGTTAAGACCCTGTCTAAAAAAAGCCTTAACAATTAGCATTAAGTTAGTCAATTGGTAATCATCACTCATACTTTTCCCATTTAAATTAGGCTAGTCTACTGTTTATGTAACTGACATATAAAAGTTGTGGCCAGTCTTAAAAAAAGACTTAACCTAATTAAGTCTTAAGCATTTAATGCAACCAGTTGGTTTTCATAACACTATACCACACATTATATGAACATCATGATGAATTTCTGAATTCTTCATACTTTTACACTGTAACAAACGCTATAGGTTTTACATCATTCATGTTGTCCCAACACAAATCGATTAGGTTAACTTGACAGATTTAAGTTGATTAATCTTAAAACAATTAGGTAACACTTTATTTTGATGATTCATTTGAGTATAAGTAGACTGTCTGCTTAATATCTCTTGATTCTGCTCCTTCAACAGACAATTAACTGACTAGAAGAAACTTTGCAAGTACATGTCAACTTACACTAACCCTAACTCCAACCTAACAGTCTATTTATAATCTAATGATGATTAGTTGACATGTAGATGCAATGCAACAATGGACCATCAAAATAAAGTGTGAGCAACAATTAAGTTCATTCATTCATTTTCTTTTCAGCTTAGTCCCTTTATTAATCTGGGGTCGCCACAGTGGAATGAACCGCCAACTTATCCAGCACGTTTTTACACTGTGGATGCCCTTCCAGCTGCAACCCATCTCTGGGAAACATCCACACACACTCACACTCATACACTACGGACAATTTAGCCTACCCAATTCACCTGTACCGCATGTCTTTGGACTTGTGGTGGAAACTGGAGCACCTGGAGAACTTGAAAACTCCTCACAGAGACGCCAGCTGACCCAGCCGAGGCTCGAACCAGTGACCTTCTTGCTGTGAGGCAACAGCACTACCTACTGAGCCACTGCATCGCCCATATCAACACCATGATGAATGAAAATAGCGTGATAGATAAAAAAAATTACATTCTTCATTCAAGATAATCTTGTAAGATTAATAATCTGCAAGCATTCTAAAAAACCCCTTGACTTCTGCGCCATTCATTTAATAATAGTTTCTAAATGATTTTCCATGATGTTCAATCTAATCAGTCACGACACATGCAAACAGTTTTCCGAAAGGTGATAAAAAAGATTGCACAAAACCCAAAATCTTAACTTACCCCAAAAGCCTGATTTATGAATGATTCATCAATTTTTTTCCAACAGAAATTTGATAGAATTCTGCAACCGTTGCCAGCATAGAGTGATCTTTAATCCGTAGGTCAAATTACTGGCAATGAGTGGCAACATGTAAAAACAGCAAACACCTATCAACTGATCTGATGAGAAATCCAGGTCAGAGGTAGGCCTCATTATCTATGCTATCGCGATCAAGCTTGGCATAAATAGATGGGGTACATGAGAATCATTTTCACAGTTGAAGAGACAATAAGAAGACGACTTTAAGATGTTTCTGAACTTCTTTAGCGCTAAATACTTGGTGAGATGACCGTTCATTTGTAGATATTTTGTTGTAGCATAATACTGTTAGCTAGCATTATGCTAACACCATTGCTTCACTAAAGAGTTTGTTTTCAGGCATACATGTAATGCTTTGTAGCAAAATAGAGGCCTCAACTTGTTTTCTTCTTCTAAAAGTTGTCTTTAATGGTGAATTTAATGTTAACAGATAACAATCTTTCTCTCAGGTTTTGCTAGGCTGTGCACTGGCAAGGCTCACAATTGCACAGCAAGAGCAGAACCGGTTGTGTGATACTGCTTTGACCATTTCTAATGACTTCAATGGCTCTCAATCTGAGGACGGAAAGGGAAACGGCAGCATTCACAACCGCTCGCTGTCTGCGTGGAACTGGATGTGAGTTGAAGAGCTCTAAAATGAGTTTAATTCATGGCATAAACAAAGTTTGATGAGGTAATATACAGCTGAAGTCAAAATTATTAGGCCTGTTTTGGAGCAAAAATGTTGGTCACACTTTATTTTGATGGTCCGTTTGTTGAACTTAAGTTACTTTGCATCTACATGCCAACTAATTCTCAATATATTATAAGTAGACTGTTAGGTTGGAGTTAGGGTTAGTGTAAGTAGACATACGCTTGCAAAGTTTCTTATAGTCAGTTAAATGTCTGTTGAAGGAGCATATCAACAGATATTAATCAGACAGCCTACTAATACTCAAATGAACCATCAAAATAAAAGCTGTGTCTCATTTCAGAGGCTGCATCCTTCAAAGGAGGCAGACTATAAAGGTGAGTTGAACCGAGCATTTTAAAATAAGACACTCTAGCCTACAGAGGACAGATCTTTGACCCAAGTCCTTGACCCATAACAATGTACAGTACCTATAACTGTCAGTATGTTTGTGTGCTCTTTATACAGTTCCTATTCTAATTTGAAGTTAAGTAGAATAAATAAATAAATCGAAATGCAAAACAAAATATAAGTGAACAAGAAGTGAACAAATAGATTTCCCTACCAGCAAATGACTAACTTAAATCTCCAAAAGACAGATGAAACCATCGGTGAATTGTAGCTCTGACATAGACACGAGGCTTATAAATTACTGAAAAACAGTTGAGGATAAAGTACATTGATCGCAAGTGTTCAGATTTTGATCACATCTCTGTTTTGTTCTGTTGATATGTAATTTCAAATATTCGTAGCTTGAAGCAGATGGAAATATGACTGCTGTTAGTATGACTACTATGTTGAGGGCTTAAACGGAGCAGTGCTCATAATATTAAGCGAAAAATAAGAAAAAGACAGCAGTGAAACATAACCTGCTTTGTATTATTTGTAGAAAACTGAATGACTGTGTCAGGAATATCGAAACAAAACCAACTTAACTCTGCTCCTTCAGTGCCCCTCACACAGCTTGATCCACGCTGGCATTTCTCCTCTTGGGCTTTTGGTTTTTAAAAGGGAAAAAACTCCACCATCCTGTCCAAACTTACAGGATACCGGGTATCAGATTTGCACAATCCATATGCACAAAGCTTTGGCCTGTTTCCCTCGCTCAAAAGCTTGACAGAGCTTCTGCACATAGCTACGGTTGCTAAGCCACAATTGGTGGGTGGCGGTTTTTGGATGTGGCTTAGCGAAGGGTCAAATGGCTGTAGTGTATGTGAATGAGTCTATGTTTCCCAGTGATGGGTTGCAGCTGGAAGGGCATCCGCTGCATAAAACATATGCTGGATATGTTGGTCACCCCAAAGTAATAAAAGGACTAAGCTGAAAAGAAAATGAATGAATAATTGAGTTAGGTTAATTAGGCAAGTCTTTGGACAACAGTGGTTTCTTCTGTAGCCAATTGAAAAATAATTATTTCTTAAGAACCCAGCAGGCGCACAACATCATATGACGTTGATCTTTACTTCTATTTTGGTTGCTTGCAATGTCAGGTGACTAAATTTAATGTAAATTTGCTGTCTAATATCGACGTCACTGATGACATAATCGAGATCTCTGAATGTTATACGCTCAAAGTTCATTCAGTGCAGTGGCTTTTACAGAGTTAGCTTAGCAAAGCCTACAGCAAACAAAATTTGGGGACTACAAAAAAATACCTCCAGGGTAACAAAATCATAAACCCTTCAGGTTATGCGCATACACCCGCGCAGTGAAGTGGCAGGTCCACAGAAGCTGTAATGTTTTAGCAGAGAAAGCGAAAGTACTTACAATTTATTTTTAATAATGTTCCAGAGAATTATAAAAAAAATATATAGCTAGCATTTGACCAAGGACAGCTTCCAGAATCTCTCCCTGTTCAGTGCTGGATTCGGCTAAAATCTCCTCAGCGAAGGAGCAGGTCTAAACAGAATAACAAAAGCTGTGGATTTTGAACCACAACATGTAAGTATTTTTATTTGTTAAAATTAATCTATAGATAAACAGTGTCTAGCATTAATGCTATGTTGTAGTGAGGACGTAAACAAGAATGTAAACAACGGGAAATGCTGTTAGGCACTGCTAACAACTTAGCTACACATTCATATTTATCAGTCAAACTGCTGTAAGCACCCACAATCTACACCAGCGCTGCAGTGTCTCTATGTAGCTGCTTTCCGTGCGTTCTACATTTCAAATACCAAACCTGCAAAAGATATGAACGTTTCATATTATTTACACATGCTCATAACCTGAATATATATGAAAGACACTTCAGATTTTATTTTAGAGAGCAGGCGTGAGGTTCAGCTGTGTGCTCTTAATTTTCTGTCTGATTCACCCTCAAACTGATAAGGCTAGCGGTTACGATGACAAGAAGAGGCATGACGCTTCCTGCTGATATAGAGCCAATCCACAAGTCACAGCACATTATGTTAGCTGACCAATCAGAGCCTCTTGAGGGCGGGCTTTTCAGAGGTACTAGGAAGTATGACAGTTGTTTTCATGTTAGCTGAGTAGCTGTATATAATCTAAGTAAGATGTATGAAAAAATAATGTGATTTTTCACAAATGAAGCATAAGAACATATTACTTTGCATATAAACACAACCAAGCTTTAAAAATACACTCTGGACCACCCCTTCAGCAGGTAATGGTTAGTTCTGTGGGGTTTGTCATATTGAAATAACCATCTTCCTTTTTTCTGCTTTCAGACCGAAGTTTTCACCGCACAGAATACCGCAGGTCATCTTTGAAGCCCAGTGCAGCTCTGAATATTGCATCTTGCCCACTGGTGTGGATAAGAGACTGAACTCTGTGCCCATTTATCAGGACATACTGGTGCTGAAACAGGAGATGGAGCGCAAGAAATGCTTCAGGGCCATGTTTGAGAAAGTAATAGTAGGCTGTACATGTGTACGGGCTAAAACCTCCTGAAATGATTCAAATGATTATGCTTATTTATTTCAATCAAGCTGAGAATTTTAACATATTTTAAGTTATTTTGTAGATGTTTTGACTTTTTTCTGAATTATTAAATAGTTTCTATTTATTCATTTAGAAGTTTATTCAAAAGCCTATCATGGTTTTTTTCATTTGTTCAGTACACACTCCAATTTTTACCAATAAAGATCTGTCATTTGGCCTTAAATCTGCCCAAATTGATGTCTTGAGATAGTAAAAACACTTTTTTTCTAAAAGATGTTTGCATTATTTAAATGAATGTGTTTAGTTTTGCTGAAAAGTCAAGATAGAGTCAAATAAAAACCCCTGCTGAAGATCTTTGTTGTATTGAACTTTCTTTACATGCACTTAGTTACTATGTTTATTGTAATTTTAGGGTTTTAAAACTGCTGTATAAAACATAATACAAAAGAGAAAAAAAATAGTGGCATCATAAATTGCTACAATAGCTTGTCAGTGGGTCAAGACCATCAAAAGATTAGCCGTTATCTGCAAAAATAAATAAATAATTAAAAAAATAACCATCTAAGTACAAGAAATAAAAGTATGACTTAAAAAGGTACAAACTAGAAACAAGTCAGATTGTTTGCCAGAGCAATAAGATAATAGTAAAGACAAACAAAATCCTAAAATGACTATTATAACACTTATTTCAAGCAGTGTATACTCTAATGATCTTAAAACTAGTTTTTTTTTTGTGGCTTTTAAACAGTTTGTTTTTCATGTTTTGTATGAAGGAATCTTAAAATTTGTCATTCCACCTAATTTAGCAATTGTCATTTTATATTCTGTCTTAAAATGAGCCAAAGCATGTAAACTTAAAATAAGATTATTGTATGTGATTTAAATTGGGATCACTTGCAATCTGTCCACTATTTTTTATTCAAGTTTAGATCTGTATCACATTAATTTCACGTTTGGCACCCATCAGACATGACTGAACTGGAGAACTTTTGCTACGAAAAATATTCCAAAATGCCTTCAGCAAGAATTCAGGGTCTTTTCCTTGACTATAAGACGCATCTACAGGCTGTTATTTCAGCTAAAGGTGACTGTACAAAAGATTGATGATATTCTGTTGGGGTGCTAAATTTTTGCACCTGTCTGTTTTTGTTATGACTCGAATTGCATTGCATCTGTTGATTAAATAAATGTTACGCCAGAACTGAAATGTTGCTTTTTCCCTAGGGTTTAAAATATTACCAAATGATTTTTCTGATTTGAAAGGCCAGCAAGGGTAGCACGGTGGCGCAGTAGGTAGCACAGTCACCTCACAGCAAGAAGGTTGCTGGTTCGAGCCTCGTCTGGGTCAGTTGACATTTCTGTGTGGAGCTTGCATGTTCTCCGTGTTCGCGTGGGTTTCCTCCGGGTGCTCCGGTTTTCCCCACAAGTCCAAAGACATGCGGTACAGGTGAATGGAATAAGCTAAATTGTCCATAGTGTATATGTGTGAATGAGTGTGTGTGGATGTTTCCCGGTGATGGGTTGCAGCTAAAAGGGCATCTGCTGCATAAAACATATGCTGGATAAGTTGGCGGTTCATTCTGCTATGGAGACCCCAGATTAATAAAGGGACTAAGCTGAAAAGAAAATAAACGAATGAATGAAAGGGAAGCAGGATATGGCTTGCAATTCTGATAATTATCAGGGGTGGACAAACTTTTGCATAAAACTATATATAAATAGGTTAATGATGTTTCTTTTGTGTATACCGCACATTGACAACCTAATAACCATTGCTTTTCTTTTTTCTGAGATTGTTCCAATCCTTCACAAGCAAAAAGAGCAAAGCTATAGGCAATATAATGAAGTGAATAGCAACACTGGCATCTATGTCAGTACATGAATGTGGTCGCTGGCACTTAATAGCCCTTACAAACATTCACCATGGTAACCATGGTATCATAAACAACAGTTATTGTTACTACAACAAATCATCTTGACACTAATGACATCCAAATTCTTGCCAAAAAGTACTAGTTACTAAAGAATGAGAACTACTAGCAGCCAACAAATAAGCACTATTAAATTGATTGCAAAACTAAAAATGACTCACCTTTTACACACTGTCATGTGACTCCATATGATCATGAATTTCCTTTCTCTGTTGAACACAAAGGAAAATATTTTGAAAAGTGTTGAACCTTTAATCATTATTGACTTAAAAGAAACAAATGCAGTGAAAGTCAATGGTTACAGGTTACTTAATTTGTGTTCAACAGAAAAAAAACACAACAAACAAGTAAATGGGTGAAATGTGAATGAACTGCCTTTAATGATGGAATAGGGCCTAATATATATATATATGTATATGTATATATATATATGTGTGTGTGTGTGTGTGTGTGTGTGTGCGTGCGTGCGTGTATTGTAGATAAAAAAAATTTAACAACAAAGTAATTGGGCATATTTTAAAAAGTAATTTTTTTATTTCAATACACCATCAAAATTGAAACAGATTGAAAATAATATACATATATATTTTAAATTGTATATATCTTAAATGGCCAATTTTACTGAAAATGAAAGATATACAATTTAGGATAATCAAAAATACATATCCAGCAGCAGAAATTTTACGGGAAAAAAATCCGATTTGAGGTACTGTAGGTCCATTTGTTTTTTTGTTCAGAAGAACCTGAAACCATTCAACATTTATTTTTCTCTTGTCACAAAAAGTTTTGGCAGGACCTTTGCAGCTGACAGTATATAGATACAGACATACCATCCTTAAATTTGATTAAGGTTTTGGATTATGCAGATGGTTTTCCCCAAAAGAATGTCATTGATGTAAAAAAATATTATTATGATTATAAGAAAATATTATTTACACAAAAGTAAATACAATAGCTAATAGTAAACCCTTGATTAATTGCTTTATAAATGTAAAACATATTTAGAATCTTTAAAAGAAGTATGCAAAGAAAATAAGGCTACAGAGGAACTATACAAAACTATGGCTCTTTCCTTTTAAAAACGTTTTTTTGTTTTTTTTTTAATGTTATGCATTAAAATGTTTATGCACTGGTTAATGTTAATGTGAAAATGTGATTGGAAGTGTATATATTATTATATGTCGTTAAGTATATATATATATATATATATATATATATATATATATATATATATATATAAATTGTATGTATGTATGTATATATATATATATACATACATATACTTAACGACATATATATATATACAGTTAAAGTGAAAATTATTAGCTCCCCTTCGAATTTTTATTGAATTTCTTTTTTAAATATTTCCCAAATTATGTTCTGAGCAAGAAATTTTTCACAGTATGTCTGATAATATTTTTTCTTCTGGAGAAAGTCTTATTTGTTTTATTTTGGCTAGAATAAAAGCATTTTAAATATTTTAAAAGCCCTTTTAAGGTTAAAATGATTAGCCCCTTTAGACGATTTTTTTTAATAGTCTACGGAACAAACTATCATTATACAATAACTCGCCTAATAACCCTAACCTGCTAATGAACCTAGTTAAGCCTTTAAATGTCACTTAAGCTGTACAGATGTGTCTTGAAAAATATATAGTAAAATATTATGTACTGTCATCATGGCAAAGATAAAATAAATAAGTTATTAAAAATTAGTTATTAAAACTATTATGTTTAGAAATGTGCTGAAAAAAAAATCTTCTCTTCGTTAAACAGAAATTGAGGAAAAATAAACAGGGGGGCTAAGAATTCTGACTTCAACTGTGTGCAAACCAATGGTGCAAACCTAATAACGCTGGGGTCATTTCAAGACCGAGCCACTACGTGGCGACATACAGAATCTGCAACGGTGATTGCGTTATCTATTGCCGTCCAGCGCTAGCTAGCGGATAGGAGGAGAATAACGCAGAGACGCTTCAATCAACTGTATCCACATAAACAAACGCCCTCCTTGGGGATGGACAAAGTTCCGTAGCTCAACGTTTAATAATCATCAACTTAGGTCACTATTCAATAATATTGCATGTTTTGCTATATACTTTTATTAAAACGTTGAGTGGAGGTTATATTGCTCTGTAACCAACTGGATTGTGTGAACTTTTCCTGTCAAACTGTGGACTTAAAGGTAGCCAGTCGAGCTAACTGGCTAAGGTAAGTATGATTCTGAAGTGATAAAGCTGTATTAGACCTATTATTTTACAGCTTTCGACTGTTGTTTTCAGTTAAGCTGTTAGAAATTCGTGTCAGCTCGTTGTTGCCATTTAGACTTCGTGCTGAAGAGTTGTTTATCTCTGCTGTAAAAGGCTGTCATTTGCAACGTGTTTTTGCTGAGAGATTACGTTATTACCATCCGGGTTTCATTATTTACCATTATTTCATATTTATTAATGGTAAGTCAGCTGAAAATATGACATAGACTATTATGTAGTTGCTTTTACATAGGCTCATTTGTTCATTTAACGGTTGTTTACCACACTGATTTGAATGTTGGGTCTGGAATCGCATTTAAATGACTTGAAAACAACATTCGCACAATTTATTTGACTGAACAATGTTGTACTTTGATAGTCATTGGCTGCTATCATTATTTCACTTTTTAGAATTTTCAAATAATACTTTTCGAAATGATATTATTAATGAGAAAGTCCGAATGTGCGAATATAAAAACAACTTTACCTTAATAGATAGAGTTGCTAAATAGTTTCGAGTCTGTACTTAAATCTAACGTTAATATTTTTGTATTTACTGGTTTAAGCGGTGTTTAGATGCTGTTTTTATTAAGAAGTCGAATATGTGTAAAAGTTCAAAACAATAATTTTTTAAAAGTCATCATTCATTTGAGAATCTTAATACAATAACTGGACTGAGATAAAGACATGAGGGGTAATGCACAAAAGTAAGAAAAGGGATTAAGCTGGGATTGTGAGGCTATCCTGGCTGAATTTAGCCTTCACTCAGTTGCATGAAAGCAGGCTAAATTAAAATAAACTAAGTTACTATGGAGATTTATTTATACTCCAGAGCAGGCTAACAACCAGGCTAAGATTAATCCTAGTGATATCTATTTAAATATTCTTTTCTTTTATCATGGCAAAGATCAAATAAATCAGTTCTCTCTGTTAAACAGAAATTGGGGAAAAAATAAACAGGGGGGCTAATAATTCTGACTTCAACTTTATATACATTTATTTGTTTATTTATTTATTTTGATGATAAAACATCATATAATTAATTAAATGTACTCAATTAGAAAGAAAATGATAAATGATCCCATAGATAAAGACTATATAAATTAAATAGATCTGCAATAGTTAATACGTCTCAAATCAAATGTTTTTGTTTATTCTCTGATTGAAAGTAATGGCAGTTCTCAGATTGGTGGGCGAGAGAGGCGTTTTTCAACTCGTTAACTGATTGGCTTAGATCGGGTTTTATACCTACTTTTACATCATGGATTCTGTGTTTGATCATGTCGTCTGTTAACAAATTCTGCAAATGTGCATTTATCCTGGCTATTAACATCAGGCTTGACATTGCAGCTTGTTCTCGAACTAGATCAGCAAACGTGCAACAGACTAAGCCAGGAGGACCCAATTAGGCTAAGTCAAGCTGTGCTTTTTTTGTTATCCTGGCTTTCTTGATTCTACTTTTGTGCAATACCCCTAAGGTCTCTAATTCTGGCATCAAAGTAAATTTACTAAAGTGTTTTTAAGTTGCATAGAAAGGATATTGATTGCAATTGTTTACTGTCATGTTTTAAATAACATTTGATTAAAAAAAAGACAAAAAAAATGTATATATATATATTTTTTTTTTGACAGTTTTTGCATGTTACACTGTAATTCTTAAATAGAATAGGCCTATACGAATATTTTGCTATTAAACATTTCTAGAAACTCTTAGTAAAATATATGATTGTCTTTTTTTATATATAAAATTAATTTGAACAGTACATTTATGATCTTAAAACTACATTACAGAATTATTACTTTATCTTTCAACCCATTTCCATCTTTAACCCATGTACAATTTTTTTTTATTGTTTGTTTTGCTTCAGATTTGCTAATATTAAATTCATCAGATCTGCAGCATCCTTGTCCTGTAAATGGGGAACAGTGCGCTCAAAGCTCATTTGGAAACATCTCAGAAGACTGGAGTCTTTCAGCTGACCGGAAAGGGTTTGACAGAGGTACTAGTAGGCTTGTGGTAATCAGATTCAGCACTCAGATGCACTTAACAGCAACGTCCTTGTGGGTTATAGACAGTTCAGTCATGTTTGTTTATGTAGTTCCCAGAGGACCTGCAGAAGCTCACAGCAAACCTGCGGACAGTCGATCTGTCCAACAACAAGATCGAGGAGCTTCCAGCGTTCATAGGAAGCTTCCAGCATCTCAAGAGTTTTACCATAAGCTGCAATAAACTGAGTAAGTCTTGACTTGCATAGCTAAACAGAAGCATAACAAACATAAACCAAACATTTTTCTCTTTAATTGATTTTGAAGTGTTTGCAGTCAAAACATGTTTTATTGCAGTATTTTTCACACTTGTTTTTCTTTTTTTTCTTTTTTTTTGTATAATAACTCCATGTTAAATTAGTAATTGTCTACTGAATATTTACTATTTTGAATTACCCATTTTGGGTAGTTGATGGCTTTTTTAAGTTTTATTACGTTTTATAGAAAAATATTAATATCTCATTCATCTTAATTAATTGTTATTACATATATTGGTATAAAAATAGAATAATAGAATATAAGAGTAACTAAAATTAAAATAATTATGAAATTTAAAACTACATTATGTCAAGAAGTGATTCCCTGCTGAACTGAAGAATGTTACATTTTCTGAGTAACTTGTTTTATTGCTAAATTATTTTTTGTTAACTTTTAAAGTATTCATAAACACTCACCGGCCACTTTATTAGGTACACCTGTCTAACTTTGTGTTAACACAAATTTCTAATTAGCCAATCACATGGTAGCAACTCAATGCATTTAGGCATGTAGACATGATCAAGACAAACAGCTGCAGTTCAAACCGAGCATCAGAATGGGGAAAAAAGGTGATTTAAGTGACTTTGAACATGGCATGGTTGTCGGTGCCAGATGGGCAGGTCTCTGTATTTCAGAAACTGCTGATATACTGGGGTTTTCACGCACAACCATCTCTAGGGTTTACAGAGAATTGTCCAGAAAAGAGAAAATATCCAGTGAGCGGCAGTTCTGTCTTGGCACACTTTGTGCCCTTTAGTACCAACTGACCATCGTGTCAATGCCACAGCCTACATGAGTATTGTTGGGATGTTGACTACTGCGTGGTGCTATCATGTCAATATGGACCAAAATCATTGAGGAATATTTTCAGTACCTTGTTGAATCTATGCCACGAAGGATTAAAGCAGTTCTGAGGGCAAAAGGGGTCCAAACCAGTATTTGTAAGGTGTACCTAATAAAGTGGCCAGTGAGTGTAATTATTAATATATATTGGGAAAATACTTCTCATTTTCATTTAACTGTACTAAAATAAAATTAAAAATTAAACTAAAACTATTATAGCTAAAAGTTTTACAAACTGTATAAACATATTTTAGGGGTAAAATAGAAAATTGCAAAAAAAACAAAACAAGATTACAACAGTGTTTATTCATTCATTCATTCGTTCATTTTCTTGTCAGCTTTGTCCCTTCATTAATCCGGGGTCACCACAGCGGAATGAACCGCTAACTTATCCAGCAAGTTTTTACGCAGCGGATGCCCTTCCAGTCGCAACCCATGTCTGGGAAATACAACAGTGTTTAAATGATATTAAATAATAAAAATACCATGTGCACATTATTAATGTTTGTTTTTTTTATGTATACAGCCAGTCTACCAAATGACATTGGCAAGCTCAAGAAGCTGGAAACCCTTATTTTAAATGGAAACCAGCTAAAACAGCTTCCTTCTTCAATTGGTCAACTCAAGTCCTTGCGCACACTGAGCCTGTCCGGCAACCAGTTTAAAGAGTTTCCCAGTGGCTTGGGCACCCTTCGCCAGCTTGATGTTCTGGATCTTTCCAAAAATCAGATCCGAGTGGTTCCTGCAGAGGTGGCCGAACTGCAAGCCATTGAAATCAACCTCAATCAGAATCAGGTGAGATTTCAGTCATTGTGTTATGGAAACTTTAGGGCTTTTCACCCTTGAAATTGTTAACCCTGGGTCATCCTTAACCCTGGATAATTGTTTTAAACTGCTTGTACTGTACACTAGAGATAAAGTCCATCCAGGAGGTTATTATCACAGAATAAAACCTGACAACAACCATCCTGGATGTACTTTATCCAGCTTATTAAATGAATGGTTGCCACAAAACGTAAAAATTAAACGCAAAACATTTTTCTGACCCATGATAGTTTATAATAGTCAATTCCTAAATTAAACGCAAACCTGAAAGAAACTAAACTGGCTGAGTGAAGTTGATGGAGTATACAATAACCTGCACATTATTCTGTCACAAGATATCAGAAACCAAAAAACATTTCAATGAAGCTTATATATTTATATATTTGGGTACAAGTATATGGAAGTGAATATACTCACTTAAAGTCAAGTTAATTCAAAGTTCCCGGATGAGTCTGCGTTATTTAGCAATTGTTATTTGTGAATAACATAGCATGGAATGTCATTACTGACCAATCAGAATTGAGTATCCCAGACAGCTGTGTAATAACTGGGGTTAATGAATAATCCTGGGTATTGATTTACATGTATTTCACACTGTACATTCGTAAACCCAGGGTTAAACTTCTTATTCATATATTTGCGCATTACTGTCGCTGATTGGACGAACATCAAGCAACCTCTTTATATAGCTTTTCAACATCATCTTAAGAGTTATGAAAATGTTGTCATGTAGTTCTTTAGTTGTTTTAAGCCAGGACAAGAAAACAAATACAGAAGTACAAATAAATAAAAACAAGCTGAAAAATTTGTCATGTCACTATTTCCCGATCACTCTTTTTTGTTTACATGCTTTTCCCTCTTTTAATATTTCCTTACTTTTCTCTCTGACTGCTATTTACATTTCATGTTACTGAAATAACATGAGCTACACTGCTCAGTTTCTGATTGGCTGTCTGTTGCCAAGCATCCAGCAGCAACAAACAAACTTTAAAATTACAGGTGTGAAACATGTCTTTAACCGGGGTTAAAAGCGGTGTTTAGAACGATTATAACCCTGGATTAAGAGCAGTGTGAAAAACCCTTTTGTGCAGTGTCAGGGTGATCATTTTGTGCTGTGTTCATTCTGTTTCAGATTTCAAGCGTGACTCAAGAGGTGTCTCGCACACCCAGACTGAAAGTCTTGCGGCTAGAGGAGAACTGTCTGGAGCTCTCCTCTATCCCCCTCTCCATCCTCACAGACTCCCAGGTGTCCCTGCTGTCTGTCGAGGGCAATTTGTTTGAGGTCAAAAAGATGCGTGACCTGGAAGGATACGATAAAGTAAGTTTATTGACATTTATGGTTCTATGAAGAACCTTTAAAGGTCCCCTAATAACTTGTAACACACAACATAACCCAGTGTTGACATAATTTCCACTGAAACAGGATGAGCAGCTCCGCCTTCTTTAAAATAACCAATATTTTTTTGCCTAAATCACCGATCTGCCAAACCAATCGAGCTAAAAATGTGCAGCCTAATATCTATATCAGCCTAATATCTGCTGAGTCTGTTTAACTGTAGCTCCTCATAATCCTTTAAAATGTAGCATTTAAATGGGTCAGATAGGTTTTGTGGTCTGTGCACTTTTATATATTTTCTGATCCATGTTGTCATGTTTATGGACCAGTGCAGACAGTGTGCATTTATATAAAAGAAAATGCATTGTGTGCTGCAGTGGTTTGTGAAAAACACTATTCTATGAAACATTAATCAATAGAAGACATATTTACACTGATATACTGAATCATTTATACTCTGTATAGTGCACTATTTAACTTTAGCGTCTATTTAGAGGAGAGGGTGGGGCTTCTGGTTCTATGTAGCATTTGATTGGACAGAAAATTATGAGGTGAGAAGATAAAGACAATAATGAGAAGCTGAAGAGCAGAGTGATGTCATCAGAATTGTTAATCCACATCGGTGGAAGTAAGAGACAAATTAAGTATATCAAACGAATATATATTATGAATCGGAACTAGTAATCTCAAGACTAAAATATTCATCATCGAAACCAAAAAATGTATTTGATGTGAACATTAATGGCAATGGAACCTCCACAAAAGATTCTTTACAGAGGAGAATGGTCTTTAAGATACTTTTCCACTGCATGGTACTCCAGTAGAGGTGGCGCAGCTATTGCCATATTCCCACCCACTTTAAAAACAATACTACACTGCAGTGGAAACATGTTTCACATATAGCAATAACATACAGTGTTTCCTCTAGGATTTTTTTCCAGCTGTGGCGGCAGGCCTTTTTTACACAGATCTACCAACTACCTATGGCGTTATTTCAATGACAAATGTCGTGAGCACAGTATTACAAGTCGAGATCGCATTTATGTAATACGAGCATGCAAATCTCTTTGCTTGCGCATCGATTTCCTCTGTTCATGCACAAAACTACTCTAACCCCCTCAAATATACGCTGCTCAAGTGCATTTTTTTGTGCGCTCTCAAATAAACGCTGCTGAAGTGCGATTAAGTGCATTTTTGTAACAAGTATGTCTCCAACATTTATTAGATTTGCTAGGAATATTTGTGAATGTCTCCAATAGACCTACAGAGCGGCATTAATGCGTCCTGAAGTGAAACAGCCATAAACTCCAGCAAGATAAAGTCATTATATGCAAAGCCATAGACCTTTATCTATAAATAAAGTATAATTATGGAAACTTTGTTCATCTTAACTGAAAGCTACGTCATGTTTGATGACCTCAAGCATCACACACCTGTCAGTCAGCATGTAACCTTTAAGGGTTAAACAAATAGCACACTACTACGGTTACAGAAAAGTTACACTTATAATTCACTTACCTTTTAAATATGTTTTGGTGCATTTATAACCCGCTATTTAAAAAAAAAACATGACTGAATGTTTTGAATGAGAAGCTGTACAGTAGCCGTGGTGGGATGAATTTTGGTGTGGCGGCCCGCCACGAAATAATGAATGTAGCGGAAACCATGATGCATTTTTATTAAGTATTATAAGGGTTTACAATAAGTCAAACCCAATTACAAAACACGTACCCCAGACAGGTTTATGTTTAAGTTGAAAAACAGCTTCCATATAATCACAAAATTACATATTTTTATGTGTCTTTACAATTACATAGCTTTTCAAGAGCCAGACATGTCATTGAAATGGTTCTTTTTAAGAACTGTTGACAAATTTTCTTTGGGGCACCAAAAATAGTTTATCAGTGGTAACACTTTGAAAAAAAAACATCCTTTTGAAACCTGCATTTTAATAGATTTTTAGGTCGTGTCACACTGAGTTGAAAAATAGAGGTGATGAAAGCCAGTGGTGTTGTTTCTCACATCAGCTGAATCTGAGCCAAAAAACCTCAACACAACGACTAAAGCCAACTACTGACAAGAGTTTGTGCCTGTGTTAAAGGAAATAACTATCTATAATAGGCAGACAGGTATCAAATATATTTACAGATATACATACTGTAAATAAAGCAACAGTTATTTTCCATTTACATTGTTCCCCCAAAACCATCAACAATTATCTGTTAAGAATATAGATTTTTCAAATGATCATATATTTATATGTTGCTTTTATCACAGCCCTTAAATACTATGACTTTTGTAAGAAAACATGAGAAAAATATATTTCTATGTTTTTATTTGTTTTTTAGACTATAGTCCATGCACACATTTAGTCAGCTTGTTTTATGTTTTCCTATTTATGTCTAAATCTCTTTGAATAGCAGATGCTTTTCCAAGATAGAGAATACCACTGTTTTAATATGAAACAAAACTGGATCTTTGCTGAAAAAAGTATTTATATATAAAACAAAGTCAAATCCCACACAGCTTAACTCACTCTGAGGCTACATCTATTTGATCAAAATATTCACTATTTGAGAGAATTGTTGTCTTTTTATTATAATTTACAATTGATTATTAATATTTCTGTGATGATGAAGCTGATGATAAAGTTGTCACAATATTCAGATCTTGTGATTATTATTACTGTCCTACCAAATTAATAATAATGATTCTGAGTTCTATCAAAACCGCATAATATTCTGGTAAAAAAATATTTGTTGAGCATTCTCTGATGAATAAATTTTAAAAAATATATAATCTTTTGTTACTTTAGAAATGTTTTTACTGTAATTTTAAATCAATTTAATGTATCCCTGTCAAATAAAAGTATTTATTATTGCAGAATGTTTGAATAGCAGAAAAATGTGTATTAATAATAACAATTATATAATAACTTCTATATAACGTAATTATAAGTAGGTATATTTGAACATTGTATAATAATAACAAATGTTAAAACATATTAAAAAGATTTTTTTTTATAATTATTTTTTTTTTAGGGTTTTTTCACCTTTATTTTGATAGGACAGTAGAGAATTCAGACAGGAAAGCATTGGGAGCAGAGAGAGGGGGAAAGGATCGGCAAAGGACCTCGAGATGGGAATCGAAAACGGGTCGCCACGAGCACACTGGTGCTATATGTCAGCGCGCAGTACCACTAGGCTACCGGCAAATTATATTTGTTTATGAGCTGAGATTTCCATCAGAAGCATTATTAATTAATTACTTAATTATTAATGCACATTCTCAAAATATTGTCAACCTTTTCCATTTAAGAGTCTTAAAATAATAATAATATTTTATGTTTACATATAGTGCCTTTAAAACGTAATTCTCAAAGTGCTTTACACTTAAAAAATAAAAAAGAGAGCAGAAAAACAGTTATGCAGAGGATAAAAATTAAATACGTAAAAAATAAAACAAATCAGAAACAATGTAAACATAAAACCAATAAAAAATACACACCTGACAAGTAGTCTAAAAATGGTGACTTTTCAGGGATACTTTAAATTCTTTAAAAGATTGTGCATGCCTAATATTACAGGGGGGTAAGTTTATGAGAAGGGAGTTTTGGAGCAATACAAGAAAAAGTCGGTCACCCATAGATTCTTTTAATCAGTGTTTCCCAACCCTGTTCCTCAAGGCACACCAACAGTACACATTTTCAGCCTTTTCCCAATCAAACACACCTGAATCAACTCTTCAGAACATAGGAAGAGACTCTAAAGTTAATAGTTCAGTTAAGGGAGACGTCCAAAATATATACTTGTTGGTGTGCCTCCAGGAACAGGGTTGGAAACAATGCTTTTAATGCCAATCTAGAGCAAGAAAGTTATTTAAATGACTATATATTCCATGCACACATTTAATCAGCTAATTTATGTCTAAACCTCTATAAATAGCTGATATTTAAATTATTTTAAAGATTATGCATGCCTAATATTACAGGGGAGTGAGTTGCAGAGTTTTGGAGCAGTAGAAGAAAAGACGGTCACCCTTAGATTCTTTTAATCAGTGTTTTTCAACTCTGTTCCTGAAGGCAAACCAATATTTCACATGTTTAGCCTCTCCCTAATCAAACACACCTAAATCAACTCATCAGAACATAAGAAGAGACTTCAAAACTTGAAGTTTGGATGGGTCAGATAAGGGAGGCATTTAAAATATGTACTGTTGCTGTGCCTCCAGGGACAGGGTTGGGAAACACTGCTTTTAATGCCAATGTAGTTATTTTAATGATTATAAATATATATATATTTTTTTTTTCACAGTATATTCCGTGCACACAAAAGCTATTTTATTTCTCACTTTATTTAATCGTAGTCATATAAGAACTCACTTTTCTTTCCGTTTTCCTCAGTATATGGAGCGTTTCACTGCAACCAAGAAGAAATTTGCGTGAGCAGTCGGCGGATTCCTGCTTCTGTCCTCAGCGCTGGGCTTTACAGTAGAGCGATTACAGCTTCCACTGCACATATAAACGTCCAGACGGTGGGAAAAAAATGGTCAGGCCTGCTTCACAACTCGACAGAAAGACTCAGGTGCTGTTACAGAGAACACTATGAATTACTGTACACACCCACAGAACATCACTCTATCATTTGCAAAGATTTTATAAAGCCAAATATAGCTTTACCAGGACATTCACACTGGAGAATGAACATGATAACATCACGTCAAGAAGGTCTAGTCTTCACAGAGTGGCGAGTTTAACAATGTATGCCATTGCCAAGCGTTTATTAATCCGTTTATTTGATGGCTTTTGACTTTATAACAATTAAACAGACTTTTTTAATGTTTGGTTTTCACCTCATACTTCTCAGAATCTGAAGTGTAACAGTATTTTTGATTGAAATGCGATCTCAGACTTCCGTTAAAGAGCATTAACTGTGATATTTATCAAGTAGCCGGGTTTTTTTTATGACAACAGAGGCTGAATATGAGTCTTACTTTTGACTATTGTTCATCAAATGAATGCTGGTGGATATTTATGTTTAATTTTTTCATTTAACAACATTTGGATGCGGCATTTTTGGTTTTATGCATGCAGGTTTTCTTTCAGAAACACATTTTAGTGAAAGAATATGTTTTTCCCCGAGATGTCATGTCATCTTGTTTGTCTGTTAACGTACTTGAATGTCACTCGTGGTCGTCTGTTTAAAAAAAGTGCTTCTCTCTGCGAGTGATTATATATATGCAAGTTATTTAAAATATGTTTATTATAAACATCTGAAGATATTATTTGGTAACATTTTACTTGGTTCATAAGACTGTCATTAACTCTTTATAATCAGTGTAATTGAGATTATATGCATGCATACAACAACTGTCATTAAGCGTCATTTGTGACATTTTAAATGCAGATATGACCTGATATGACTTGACATTACCAACACTTGTCATAAATCTGTCATAAACATGAATCTCAGTTGGGGTGTAACGGATCACGGTTGATCTATGATCTGTACGGATAACAAATCACAGTTCAGGAAGCACGTGAAAGCATGCATGCTTTTTTGTATTGTTGCTTTGGTGGCATTAGACATGAGCCCCTGCATGTATGTGAGGGTAATGTACTGTTGCTCCGTTTTCATTTATTTCAGTAACGTTAACACTGTGTGAGGCATTTTGTTTGTAAAGGACAGTATACCTAGTTCCTGGACCATAAAATACTACCAAATAGCATAAAATCACCAAGAGGTGACACTCTCTTGCTATTTAGAAAACGGCCACTAGATGCCGCTAGTGTCATGCTGTGGCCATTTTGGAATAAAAATTACAAAAGGAAAACAGCACGGATAACAAACACTAGACTGAATGAATAAAAATATTGAGTTAAATATGAGTTAAATTAAGTATATCCCATTTAAAAAATAACATTTTAACAATATCCCAATGAAAACAAGACTAGACAAGACTAAGTTAAATCTAATATCTAAAATATCTTTCACATATAACATAAAAGGTTAACAAAATATTTTAACTACTATATATATATATATATATATATATATATATATATATATATATATATATATATATATATATATATATACACACAACAGTTCTGTCTGGTTCTTGAATCTGATTGGCTGATAGCCGTGATATATTTAACTAATATCAGCACCCGTACAGCCTCTTTACCCTTTGTGTATTACTCCGCCCACATACAGCCAGCAAAAAGCAGACACTACAGATCTGAAGTTTAAAAGATGCTTGCTCAGCTGTTTAACTGTCAGCTTATGATTTGAATCCAACATGGAAGAAAGTAGTTCCTCTTACAAAAGTATTTTTGAGACTCTCCATGTTTGATTTTGTTTTTATATGCACAATTATGCCGTCAATCTGTTGTATAAACGCAATATCACACGAGTATAAATACACATTATAAAAGTTTCACGACAGTCTTATGAACACCCCTTCAAGTAAAGTGTTAGCTATTATTTCACTGTCAGCGTTATGAGTCAAATAACACACAGTCATGAATGGCTTTCTCTCTTATTCAGCATTTGTACGATACCCGTCTCTGCTTTTTAATGTACTGCATCGCCTAAATTATTTTTATGCTACAGCGTTTAGCAGCTAAACAAAACATTTGCATTAACATCATGGTAACATCATGCAATTATCAGGCAAACTGTACCTGAATGTTTCCCTCAGGATGAATAAATACATCTAGCTATCAACCTACAGTGTTTAAACTTGTTATTATTGACATGCCAAGACTAACAACTAGCCAAAAACAGGTTAGTATTTGTGGTTTATGATAGTTTTGAGGTAGTACAACAAACAATTGATTATAAGGTTGTTGTCAAAGCATCAGTTCTCATTTTCATTTAGTGTATTTGACCTAAAACTAAACCATCAAAAATGCACTATACACCCACTGGCCACTTTATTAGGCTCATTAACGCAAATTTCTAATCAGCCAATCACATGGCAGCAACTCAATGCATTAAGGCATGTAGACATGATCAAGACGATCTACTGCAGTTCAATCCGAGCATCACAATGAGGATGAAAGGTGATTTAAGTGACTTTAAACGTGGTTGTTGGTGCCAGGCGAGCTTATCTGAGTATTTCAGAAACTGCTGATCTACTGGGATTTTCATACACAACCATCTCTAGGGTTTACAAAGAATGGTCAAGAAAAAGAGAAAATCTCCAGTGAGCGGCAGTTCTGTGGATGCAGATGCCTTGTTAATGCCAGAGGTCAGATGAGAATGGCCAGACTGGTTCCAGATGAAAGGCAACAGTAACTCAAATAAGCACTCATTTCAACCGAGGTCTGCAGAAGAGCATCTCTGAACACACAACACATCTAACCTTGAGGCAGATGAGCTACAGCAGCAGAAGACCACACTGGGGGCCACTCCTGTCAGCTAAGAGCATTGCAAAGACCCAATAGATCATGTCATTCGCCAGTAAGAAATTTTTTATAATACTGAATAAAAAACTGCATTATATCTTGCACATTTTCAGTTGTGTAGCAAGAAAAATGTGTCATAATGTGCAATATTTTATGCATGCAAGGATCGCTGGTCTTACTCTCTCACACGCTTTGTCCTAAAGTGACTATTGTATGCTTAGTGGTTGGTCGGTGGGGTGCAGGAATTACACTTTTTACTGAGCCTTACTTGCATGCTATTGTTTAGTTTATTTGTTTACAGCAGGGGTCACCAACCTTTATAAAACTGAGAGCTACTTCTTGGGTACCGATCAATGTGGAGGGCTACCAGTTTGATAAACACTTCTCAAATAACACATTTGCTCAATTTACATTATATTTTTATACTTTGTTTTTAGTAATAATTAATGATATTCATCCATGTGAAGACACTGATCATGTTAATGATCTCACAAAAGTTATCAACAATGATTTAACAGGGTAGGTAATACCCTGTATTTAATGTGTCAATGTGCAACACTTTATTTTTATATATCTCTGCAAATATTTACATTTTTAAATGATTACTTCTATATTATTCAATTCAATTCAGCTTTATTTGTACAGCGCTTTTACAATGTAGATTTTGTCAAAGCAGCTTCACATAAATGGTCATAGTAACTGGAACAGTGTAGTTCAGTTTTTAGTTTTTAAGTTCAGTTCAGTTCAGTTTAGCTCAGTTCAGTGTGATTTAATCATTACTGAGAGTTCAAACACTGAAGAGCAAATTCATCGATGCGTAGCTCTACCAATCCTGAACCATGCGAGCCAGTGGCGACAGCGGAGAGGGAAAAAAAAACTTCACCTGATAGGAGTGAAGAAAAAAAACATTGAGAGAACCAGACTCAGTTCAGCACGACCATTTTAATTTTAATATTAGATGAAGCTTACTGGTAAGTGGCGCTATGGTGAGCTATTTTTAGAACAGACCTGCGGGCAACACATGTGATCCTCACGGGCTACCTGGTGCCCGCGGGCACCATGTTGGTGACCCCTGTTTTACAGGGTCAACGCACATTAATAAACATTACTGTAAAATGTGCTATAAGTAGCCAAGAATAGCTATTTTTCATCTGTAGACCCCTTACAGAATGTTATTCACAACTAAAATAGAATCAGATCATAATAACATAGAATATACTATCATATATAAAATACATTTAAAAAATTAAAAGACAAAAACAGATTGATGGCAGCAGAAGAGGACAAAAAGCCAAAGACAAACAGAATAAATAAGTGTCAAGAATACAGTACTAATGCTGACAATGCTGATTTGTCAATAATCAATTTTTAATATGAAACTGAAAATAAGTCCCCTCTTTCACCAGTAAGTCGTTCTAACTTTCACAAACTGATTTAGTGGTAAAGTCAGGTTATGTTGGGTCTTAAACATTAACAAATATGTACATATTTAATTTAATTTTCACACCTAAGGAGGTTGAGGACTAAATATTCAGAGTAACGGTAAACAATATAGGGAGCGCGTCACAGGTTGTCATTGTTCAAAAATGAACCAATGTGAATATAATTCCAACTTTAGCTCAGTAAAGCAGGCTAGGCAGAATAGGGCTATTTACTTCTGTTTTGTTGTTAAACTAAATAAAAATCTACATTATCGATGCTGTAAAGCAAGCTTTCACAGGAAGAATTCAGTGGCTGAACAACACCTTTGTGCATATATAACCCATTCATAACAATACAATCTAAGCGTTGCGTGACTAAAATAGTGTAAAAAGTTACATTACCTGTCTAAGAGAAATACTTCAGCAGTGGTGTAATTCTACCTCCAGCGTGCAAAAATATCTCCAATATTGCTTCGGGATTTTAAAAAGTTTTGGTCCAGCATTTGTTTTTGCCGCCGTTACTCATGTCCAGGGGCATGTGACAGTTTAGGCAACTTATCAGAATTATGGGAATTGAATTATTCTGCACAAGCTATAATGACTTTCACCTTGATAGTTTAACGTTGATGTATACCTGACCGTTGAGCCGTCTGACAAAAAAGTGTCCTTCTGGATCAAATCAGCAGGATGCCCGTCTTGATCTTTCACTTACTTTAAAGACATACCGACAACGCTTACAGCGACATCTGTAATCTAGTTATTTGCCTTAATTGACAATAATATAATTAAAGTGTTTAAGTGAAGCGCTTGTAAGAATTTCCTGTGATTTTGGGTGACTTTAACTGCTGTTTAGCAGTTTCACTTTCACCCATGAACATTTCATTCATGCCCCTGTGACAAACTGGAGTATTAGATGCAAATAAGGGGTAAGGACTGGCGGGAGTGTTATGGGATTTAATAAAGCACGCCAAATAGAAAGAAAAAAACTTCTGCATTTCACGATGT